AGGTATTAATAATAATCACTTGTAAATTTTTTTTCTTGAGTTTTTCCATCAGGTTTCCTTTCGAGCCTTCATCATCATCATCTTTGGGTTTCGTTCCTGTTATCAGTAATATTGTACCATTTGTAAAATTCTTATCAACAATTTCGTTCATTACTCGTAAAGTTGGATAAGCAGAAGAAGAAGAAGAAGAAGAAGAAACGATATTTGTATCGTTTTTACTTGTTTTTTTTAAATTTTTAACGGCTTTTAAAAATCCGGAAGTTGAATCATAAGAATTTGATGTTTGCAAACCTGAAAATTGGAAAAATTAGAAAATAAGAAAAAAAAAACCTTAATGACAAAGTTAAATGTTTTTTTTTTGTTATCTTCAAGCAAATAATAATAATGAATTTGTTTAGTTTATATTTGTTTGTTTGTTTGTTTGTTTGTTGTTTGTTTATCTGTTTTTTTAATTTTTCTTTTAACAGAAAAACCAAAAAAAAATTGTTTTCTCTTTGTATTTATGATCACGTTGTTGATTTTTTTTTTTCAATATCCGCCATTTTTTTTGGGGGGGAGGGGGTTTGTTCGTTTTGTCTATCGTGCCTTAAATTTCTTCTTTGTTCAGAAAAGGAATGAAAAATTTTTGTAAAGATGTATTTTTTTAGAAGCGAAAAAGAAAAAAAAAATGATTTTCTCATACCATTCGAATCGAACGTTATCAAAAGGATTTTCTCAGGTTTTTCCGATTCAATTTCTTTTCCATCATTTTCCTCGTCGTTGATACTTTTAAGATTATCCAAAATTTTTTCATCCGATTCGATGATGACGGCGATGACGGTTAAATTATTTCGTATGGTGTCGAAAATCAAATCGTAATTTTCGAAATTTTTCGACGACGATGTTGTTGTTAAATCCGCGGAATTTCGCGTTGTCGAATTGGTGGGAAATGGAAAACCGTTGGTTTTATCCAACATCCACGCACATAAAATATGATAAAATATAAATTTGACGGAAAACATTTTTAAAAAAAAAAAAAAAAAATGTCGTTCGCGCGAAATATATCACAGATCGGAGATTGATCTCACACGTTAACTCGAACGAATAATAATATTAAATGAGAAAACATGTCGTTGTCGTCGTCGACTTATGTACATTAATCAGTAAACAATTTTAATGTGGGTACACTATTAGATCATGGATTTTTCTTGCGTAAAAATACACACGCACGCACACACGCACACACAAGTATGAAAAGATTGTCGTGTAGATTCTCACAGGATGTTGCATATACGTTTAACATGGGGGCGGGGGCAGAAGCGGGGGCGGTGCGGGTGTTTCTTACAAAGAATTTTTAGTGATTAATTTTTTTTTTTTTACGTGTTTTTGCCGACACAAACATCAAAAAAAACAAAAAGATAGATTTGTTTGTTTGTTTGTTTGTTTATTTTTGTTGTCTCTCTTTATTATTATTATTTTTTCATTCAAGAGCTAGTCATTGATTGATTTTCATACGTAAAATGAATCATTATCGATCGACGTAAAAAAAATTTGTTTGTTTGTTTGTTTTATGTAAAAATCAACGTAGACGACAAAAGCAATTCATCGAATACAGAAAATGTAGGATCCATCATTCAAGGTGGTAGTAGTAGTAGTAGTGGTACATCACCGATCGATTTAAATGAACCACCGAAAAAAGAAGAGGTTGAAAATCCACCTCCACCTCCTTCGGTGTCGAATGTCAATCAAGGTTATGCAGGATTTATAAGTTCGTTTTTCGGCGGTGGAAATTATTACAAACAGGAATCGAATCAACAATCATCTTCGAAGGCGGCGACACCGTCGTCTGTTCCCGATTCCCGTACGACGACTCATTCACCATCTCCTGGTAAAAACGTCGTTCAAACTTTTTCACCGACTTTGCAAGTTCCGTTATCGAACGTCGACGAGACCGTGAAAAGTGGTGATTCCGTATCGAAATCCCCTGTCGGATTCGTACATTCGACGGGATCACCTTTTCAACAGGCTGCGGGTTCTAAATCCACGTTGTCACCCTCGACGATTTCAAATACCAGTTTGCAGAATCCCCCTAGTCAATTTGTCAATTCGGCAAACTGGCGTCCTCCTCCGCCTACCCCTTCTCAAGTACCTAATCCTTCTCGAATGCCAAATCCGAATCAATTGTCCAACACGCAAGATGTAGTCAACACTCAAAACCAACACTTTTCCTACGGTTTCGAATCGTTCAACGATTCCAAGTTAAGACCTTCTATAGGGTCTCTACCGAAAGCTCAATCGTCATTTGATTTACCCGTACGAAATTCCGCCGAATCGGCCATTTCGAATCATCCATCGTCTTTTTTCAATGCTCCTCAAACGCAAGGTGCGAATATTTCCGGGACTTATTTCTACGAGGGACGTCCCAGCAGCGTCGACTCTCTCAATTACAACGAACCCGCTTCCATGGGAAACACGTACCCTCCGCCTCCTCCGCTTATGAATTCGAGTAATGCATCTGGTCCGCCCATATCGTCCAGTAAGTATCGCATTCCCATTTATATCGATCCCGTTGTACGAATTTTTAATGAATTAATTTTTTTTTTTTTTTTGATCAGGTACGTCGTTCAAAAATTATCGTCGTGACCACCATAAACGTCCGGCTTATGCTCCGGTACCCGGACTCACATCCAACACGATCGTGTCTTCGTCATACCTGATGCCTTCAAATAATTTTTCAAATTATTCTCATTCTTCTCTACCCTCACTCTCATCCAAACACCAATTAACAACGAGTTTAAGTCAACCGGCAATTGATTTGTCAAAGGAAAACGCGAGCGCATCCATCAGTTCATCATCGACTCCAGCTTCATCTTTAAATAATTTTTTCGTTTTAAATTACGCATCGTCGAATTCGAGCAATTCGCAAAATTTCAATTCGCCGGAAACGCAACCGAATTTATCAGTTTCACCGAATGTTTCAAACGAATTCATACCTCCAGACACGAGCATGCGTAGCCATCCGACGACAACAACAGTGATGAGTACGATCCCCTCATCGAACTGTTCCCTGGCATCTAATGATTTAAGTAGTTTTAATGTCAATTCTGTCGCCGTGCATCCACCGATAATGTCAACAAAAGAACAAGCATCAACAACTGCTTCTCCTCCTCCTCCTCCTCCTCCACAGTCGAAAACGACATCACCTCATCCCAATATTCCACCTTCTTTGAATACCCTGGCAAATCTTGGTCATTCTGGAATTATTTATAGGCCTGCATACCATCATTGGTTTCTCAGAATCGAGGGAAAAGATGGAAAAGACATTTGGCAACCTTTCAGCATGACGGATTCTCTTGCACTCGAGCAAGCGTTAAATTCAGGTATTTTTCAATTTTCCAAACGTTTTTTTTTTTTTTTTTGGGGGGGGGGAGGGACAACGGGGAAAAATATATAATTTTTGTAAATATAATTTTAGATACGTTGAATCCCGAGACGGTTGTACCAACGGACGGAGGACGTTACGACGTTAACATATCACAAAGAATGAGGACTCCCGTGTACTGGGATGAAAAACCCAAAAGAGTCATGCGTTGTTCGTGGTTTTACAAGAACACGACCGAGAGCAGGTTGCATCCCTACGACGAAAACACGGCTTACATTCTCGAAGAGGAATACAAGAAAGCCGTCATGGCGAATTCGTGGAACAAAAAAGTGGATTTACCAAGCGGCGACTACATTATAATGTACGGTCCGAGCAGCATGGCTCTTTTTCAAGTTACACCCCAAACTCCCGAAGGATGGGAAGCGGAAACCGTAAGTCCGCCCTCGCGGCGTCTCGTTATGTAAGAATCGTATTTTGACGATGGTGTTGTTGTCGACAGGATTTTTCAGAAAATACCTTGCACAGACCCAAGATAGTCAAGAGAGGAGTTCTGGACGATTTTGAAATCGACGATGGAGAACCGGCCAAAGTCGATCATTTGATATTTGTGGTTCACGGAATCGGATCCGTTTGCGATTTGAAATTTCGCACAATAGAAGAAGCAGGTCAGATATTATTATTATTAATAATACTGCTAAAGTTTACAAATTAGAAAGACGGTTGTCGTTGTTGTTGTTGTTGTTACTATTATTATTATTATTTAAAAATGATTGATAAATGGAAAAACAAAAACGTGATATATATTCTAGGAGAAAATTCGTATGAGTCTTCGGTCCTTTCGAAAACGAGAATCGAAAAAGGTAAATTATTATTATTTGAGTTTTGGAAAATTTCCAGGAGATGTCGCAGGTGTCGGTCGAACGTAATTCAAATTTTTTTTTCGAATAAATGTCGGTTAAACGTGTTTGTTTTGATTTTTTCCTGATCCTAACTCGTTTAGTTATTTATAATGTTTAAGTAGTATTTTGCTGTTGTTGTTGCTGTTGTTGTAGTAGTTGTAACTTACACGGAGGGGGCTTTCGAATCAAAAAAAAAAAACCGTTAAAAGTTTAAATTGACTTACACGTATTTTCGTTTTTCCTTTTTCACAGTCGACGATTTCCGTAACAAATCATTACAATTGATGAAATCACATTTTAAAACGACTTCCGAACAGGGACTCGTCAACAGAATTGAAATATTACCCGTTTCGTGGCACGGTCACCTTCACGGAGAAACAACAGGAGTGGATAAAAGACTTCAAACGATCACACTCAAATCCATTCCGCGTCTGAGACATTTCACTAATGACACGTTACTCGATATTTTGTTTTACACGAGTCCCGTGTACTGTCAAGTGAGTATTTTTAAGCATGTGGAAAAATGGCGCGATTTGCTACCCGTTCGATTTTTTTCTTTTTTTCCAGAACATAATGCATCAAGTCGGACGAGAAATAAATACATTGTTTAATAAATTCAAAACGAGGAATCCGGATTTCAATGGCGGCGTTTCACTCGTCGGTCACAGTTTAGGTTCGTTAATTTTATTCGACATGTTGTGTCATCAGAAACCCGTGTCGCCACGTATGGAAAACATAACGGAAACGACAAATCAGGAAATCGTTAGTCGTCAAATCAAATTTATTTAGTTGTTATTCGTTGACGCGATAACGTACATGATTTTGTTTTTAATAATAATAGATAAGTCAAGATTTTCAAACGACCGTTTTGGCGGGAAAAAGCAAACCTAGTTTAAGTCGTAAAGTGAGTTACGTCATTGGGAATGCTGGAACTGGACAACCTTACATTGAATATCCACAGCTTAGCTTTCAACCCTTGGCTTTTTTCGCACTGGGATCCCCAATCGGTATGTACTCTTCTCTTTAATGTGTTTTTTGTCTTTGTTCCACGACATCTTATCCTTTTTTTTTTGGGTGGGGGGGGGTCAGGAATGTTCGTGACAGTGAGAGGAATCGATTCGTTGGGTCTCGATTTCACTTTACCGACGTGTTCGAGATTTTTCAATATATTTCATCCGTTCGATCCGGTCGCGTACAGGATCGAAGCTTTAATAAATCCGGAACTTTCGGAGAAGAGACCCGTTTTGATACCGCATCACAAGGGGAGAAAACGAATGCACTTGGGTGAGTGTTGACGTGTGAGTGTCAGAACAACAAAAAAAAAAAGTTTGAAATTTTATGACGATGGATTTATTCGCAGAATTGAAGGAAACAATGGCGAGAGTCGGTGCGGAATTGAAACAAAGGCTCATTGATTCGGTGAGAAGCACTTGGAACACGGTTTATCATTTGACCACGTTCGGGAGAGCCGACGACGGTTTGGAACAGGAAGTCGACAAAGTTATTGAAAAACAATTGGAGAGACAGCAAAACGAAACGGCAGCACAATGTTTGAACGATTGTTTCGACAGCGAATGCAACGCGGGACGATTGAATCAGGGAAGACGAATCGATTACGTCCTACAGGAGGCTCCGTTGGAAAGTTTTAACGAATACGTTTCCGCTTTGATAAGTCACGTGATTTACTGGTGAGATGATGCTAGCGACACGTCATACGAAAATGGAAGTTTTATTTAAATTTTATTGTTTGTTTTTTTTTTTTTGTTTTGTCGTAGGGATTCCGAAGATACGATGCTTTTAATATTAAAAGAAATTTATAGCAGCATGGGAATATCACCGGATAATCAAATAACCGTTGGAATGACGGAACCAACGCCCGAAGATGGAGCCCCGTCAACGTCGATGAACAACAACAACAACAACGGCAACAGCAACAGCAACGGTAACGCGGATGCTGCCACGAAAACATCATACGGATTCACTTAAATTATTATTTAATATCTTTTTTTTTCTTTTTTTTTTTTTATCCTTTTTGCGTTTAATTAATACGTATGTATATACATATATATATATATATATATATATATATATGTACACACGCACACACACACATAAATACGCTTATGGTTGTTTTAATTACGAATATTTATATAGATTTATTTATATTTATGTGTCGTTAAGTGTCTGTCGTTAACACATTATTATATTTATATATATAAAATATTGGGTGTGATATTATTATATGTATTGCTATTAAATATAATGGAATTATTTTTTTAATAAAATGATATTTTAAAAATAAACGTTTTATTATTATTATTTCTATTAAATGTAAAAATTCCAAAATAGTTTTTTCCTTTTGAAAAAAAAGCTTTTTCCTTTATCCTCCATAAAATAAGTCGAACAAAGCGCTCCAAGCGGTCAAATTTGAAAATTAAAAAAAGTCGGGGTATTAGAAATAAAGGGTTTTTTTTTAACGGTATTCTGGAAAGTTTTCTTTTTATGATGTTATTAAAGGTAAAAAAAATAAAAAAAAAATTACGTTAATATGTATAATATTTATTTAAACAATTTTTTAGTTATCAATTACATTTATAAAATAATACAAAAAAAAAAAAACGTTACGTAATTATTTATTCAAAAATTAACAACAATACGGTTCGTTAATTACGTAAACAAAACCGTTATAGTTTTCATCGGTTTCCGTTTACGTCATTACAAAAAAACACCACAAAAAACTTTCAAAATTTTTCGGTTTTCCGGTTTAACAAACAAACAAACAAAACTTTTTATAATTAATATTTTATCAGTTCTGTAAAAATTTTCCCTCTCTCTCTCTCATCTTTTAAATTTTTTAAAAATGGTAAATTTACCATAATTAATTTTATCACCATCATCGTAATGACCGTTACTGACGTCATCAGTTACGTCATCACGAAACGAATTGTTTTCAACGATTTTTTCGGCGCTACCGTAAAAATCATTAAAATAATTATTATCATTATCGAAATCGTTTATATCGAATTCATCGCTATTTTGATTCGATGATGAATAATAATCGAATTGATCGATATTATCGAATCCATTTCGATTATAATCGTATTTATAAAAAAAATTATTTTTACTTAATTTTAAAAAATCTGAATCGTCGTCATCGTCCTGGTCATCGTGGTCGTCATCGTCGTCGTCGTCAACGTCATCATCACCCGGATATCTAATCGATTCATTATCATCAACCATTTCCGGTTTTGAATAACTTAAATTCGTCGTCGTTACATTTTCGTCATCATCATCATAATTAACGTATTTATTATTATCATTATCGATTGAATCGTGTGTAAAATCATTTTTAATATCTGTATCGTACGTGTTTGAAAATGACGTGGCAGGAATCGGATTAAATTCTAACGAATTTTTATCATCATTATCATTTTGTATTTCTAAAGATTTTTGTTGTTGATAATTTTCATCGGAGATATTTTCTTCTGCTTCATCTTCTTCTTCTTCTTCTACACCACCTCCTCCTACATCTCTTCCTGCTTCAACAGCTGAAAATATTACAAAAAAAAATTAAAAAAAAAAAAATGGCGGTTAATTTAATCGTTAGGAAAAAAAAATGGCGGAAAAAATAGAGAAAAAAAAATTTCTCTCACCCTTCGAATAATAATAATAACGATCTTTTTTTTGATTATTATTATTATTATTAGTAGTATAGTAATTCGAATAATCCAATTTTTTAAAAAATTCCGGATTTCTATAAACTGTTATTGCTTCCGGTATTAAATCATTTAAACAATTTATTAACGGTTTTTCAATTATTAATAATAATAATAAAATTATTTTATTCATTTTAAAAAATTTTCTTACAAACACGACAAACAACAAACAACACAAGAACAAACAACACGAATGAAATTTATTTATCGACTAAATAAAATTTTTAAAAAAAATTTCATTTAAATAATAATGATTTTATTATTATTATTATTATTAAATTTAATCAGGCGTTAATAAAAAACCACACACAAATCGAAAGCGTTAAAAATAAAGGTATAAAAAAGAAAGGTGTTGTTGTTAAATTAACCATATAACCGCCATTATATATATGTTATCTATTTATTTGATAATTATTCACCGTATAAGCATTCTTATATTAATGTTGATAATAAAAACAAAACAAATGTTGTTGTTGTTGTTTTCGGTTGTTGGTTGTAGTTGTTGGTTGTTTTCTTTAATTAGTTTTTTATTTTTTAAATTTCATTCCTATCACGTTTATTGATTTTTATTCGATGATATGATTGTTGATAAGGTTTTCAGGCCGTTTTTTCCTCGCAATAATTTTGTTTGTTTGTTTGTACGATGGTTATAAATAAGAGAAGACAAAAAAAGCGTGTTTGTAGATACAAAAAAAAAATACTCGACGATTCCCCCCATTACGTCCTTGTTTTTCGCATCGGCAGAGAGGCGACGACGGAGTGTTGGTTCTGCGGTGCGCCCGAGGACGACATCGAGCACATGGTCGCGGAATGTCCCACGTGGGATGAACACAGGCAGCGGCTGGTCGGCGTCGTCGGACCCGACATGTCGATCCGCGGGCTCGTGAATGCGCGGACCCCGGGAATGGTCCGCCGTTTCGCGATTTTCGGAAGCGGTCCTACGGGCGAAAAGTACGGAGTTCGTCGACGTATGCTTCGGACAAATAGGTTTAGGGATAGGTCTAGAGATAGGTTTAAGGATAGGTGTAAGGCTAGATCTAAGGTTAGGGTAGGGTTTAAAAGATCAATAAATCCCGCTGATGAGGAAGGCGAGGAGGAGGAAGAAGAAAAAGAGGTGGCGGAAGGAGCGGTTCCGGACCTTCGTCATCGGTCGAAGAAGAGGAAACGTCGTCGTCGGAAGGAGGAGGAGGACGAAGACGAGGATGCAGATGACGACGACGATGTCTTCGATTAGCGAGGTGCGGCGACGAACGCGAGCTTCGTCGTCGGTGAGTCTTCTTTATAACTTCTCGGAGGTCGGCGGTCCCGGTCGATCTCCTCTATCTCTCTTGCCCCCCATTTAGTCCTCATTACCCGTTAGGAGAGAATGCGATCAACATACGTCTTCACTTTCTTCTTTAATTTATCCTTAACTCAGGTGGTGAAGTTTTTTTTTTTAAGGGGGGAAAGCCGCGACGGCTCTTGGTTCGGATCCGAGGACGGAGCGGCCGCGATACTGTTCTCGAACTCGGTCCGGACGCCGAGGCCTCGGGAACTTTCTCGGGGGGAGGGTTTCGTTCTGGTCGGCTGGGGAAACGCGGTTCTGGTGTCCGCTTACGCGTCTCCGAATCGTCCCGTCGGTCAGTTCAAGAATTTCTTGCACGCGCTCGCGAGGGAGATCGATGGGTTCGGGTCTCGTCCCACTCTCGTCTGCGGCGACTTCAACGCCAAGCACGCTCGTGATCGGGATACGCGAACAACGCGCGCGGCCGACTCCTCAAGGAGTGGCTCGATTCGCGTCGTTTCGTCGTGCGAAACAAGAGGGGGGCTAAAACTTGCGTGCGGGCCACCGGCGAGTCCGCGATCGACCTCGCGGTTTCTTCCGTCGCGGCCGCGTCGTGGGTCTCCGGCTGGGAGGTCCTTTCCGATTTCGAGTCCTTGAGCGACCACGCCTACCTGGCGTTCTCGTTCGGGGCTCCTCGGAGTTCGGGGGGGGGGGCTGCCTCTCGGTCCGGCGGTCCTCGCGTCGTCGTTCCGCCCCGGTGGAGTCTGAGGACGATGGACGAAGAGCGGCTCGTCGAGTGTCTCGCCGCGGAGTCGTGGCGAAGGGCCACCGTTTCGGGGAACGTGAACGCCGACGAGATGGCGCGATCGATCCGGGACGACTTGCACAGGGTGTCGAATTTGTGCATGAGGAGGGTCGGTTCGCGATCGAACGAGCGCAAGCGGCCTAAATATTGGTGGACGGACGCGATAGGAGAGCTGTGGAAAGAGTCCTGTCTCGCCCGTCGTCGGTTCGGGGAACGAAAACGCGAACTTCTCCGCCGCGGAGGAGATTACGAGCGCATCGTGACCGATTCGATCTTGCTGGGACTTAAAGCGGAGTGACGGGCTTCGCGGGTTCGCGTTCGCCGAGCGATATGGAGTTCGAAGGAGGAGAGTTGGAAGGAGCTCCTGAGCGAGGTCGACGCGGATCTGTGGGGTTTTCCCTTCCGCATCGTGACGAAGAAGCTTCGGAGTTCGTCGGGGCCGCTGACGGCCGGTATGACGGGGGAGTTTCTCGCCGAAGTCATAGCGGAACTCTTCCCGCGCGTCGCGCCTTTCGCGTTTCCTCCGGCGGGCTTCACCTTCGACCGCGATCGCGACCGAGTGACCGAGGGGGAGATTCACATCCTCCTCGACGCGGCATCCAAGAAGCGCTCGGCTCCGGGCTCGAACGGCGTGCATTATCGGATCCTCGGCAGATCCGTCGAGGTGATGTGTTCGCGTCTTTCGTCGCTCTACACCGCGTGTTTCGAGGAGGCGTCGTTTCCGAAGCAGTGGAAGTTGGCGAACCTCGTGCTGCTAGAAAAACCGGGTAGGGACCCGTCGACGCCCGGCGCTTATTGGCCGATTTGCCTTCTCGACGTGGAGGGTAAGTTGTTCGAGCGCGTCGTCGCGTCGCGGATAATCGGTCACATGGGGGCGGACGGAGGGAGGTACGACCTCTCTCCGAATCAATACGGCTTCCGGGCGGGCCGTTCCACCATCGACGCGCTCGTTCGAGTCCGGGATGCGATCAAGGATGCTCTGCGCCGGGGCGAAGTCGCGATCGCGGTTTCGATCGACGTGAAGAACGCGTTCAATTCGGTTACGTGGTCGGCGATACGGGACGGGCTGGTGTCGAAGTCCGTGCCCGATTACCTCGTTTCGGTGATAGGGTTCTTCCTCTCGGAGGGGAAGTTTTCGTACGAGAAGCCGGACGGAACAACGGAAACGGCGGACGTTTTCTGCGGTGTGCCCCAGGGGTCGGTCCTCAGACCGCTCCTCTGGAATATCGCCTACGACTGCGTCCTCACCCGGACCGTCCTTCCTGAAGGTTGCTCTCACGTTTGTTACGCGGACGACACCCTGCTCCTCGCGACCGGTTGCGGGTGGGCGGAGGTCCGGGATCGTGCGGAAGCGGGACTCGACGCGACGGTGGAGGTCATCCGGAGCATCGGACTCCGGGTGTCTCTGCCGGAAACGGAAGCCTGCGGATTCCACCGTCCGAGGAATCGGCTTCCCAACGGCCTGGCACTGTCGTCTGGGGGAGTGAGGATCGGGGTGGGGAGGACGCTCGGGTATCTGGGGGTCACCTTCGACTCGGGTCTCACTTTCGGGCAACACCTCGCGCTTTTCGGACCGAAGATCCGAGCCGCGAGCGCATCGTTAGGGCGCCTGATGCCGAACCTGCGGGGTCCGCGGCGAGGGTCAGGCGATTGTACGCGACGGTCGTTCACTCCGTGGCCCTGTACGGAGCACCGGTGTGGGCCGAATCGGTGGCGGCATCGCGGCCGCTTCGCGACAGGGCGATCCAACTCCAAAAGGCGTCTCTGAACAAGGTGGCGACGGCGTACAGGGACGTCGAGGCGGAGGTGGCTTGCCTTCTGTCGGGAACTCCCCCGCTCGATCTCCTCGCGATGGAGACACTCGTCCTCTACCGCGAGCGGGGTCGCGGCGGGCCGAGGAGAGCCCGATTCCGCAGGGAACTTTGCGTTCGCACGGTCCGATCGTGGCAGGCGCGGTTCGGCGACGGGCGCAGGCGTTACGGGGGGGAAATAATCGAAGTTCTTGGCCCCCGACTGGGGGACTGGGTGGGGCGGGGTCACGGAAACTTGACCTATCGTCTCGCTCAGGTCCTCACGGGCCACGGAGTGTTCGGCTCGTACTTGGCGCGCATCGGCAGAGAGGCGACGACGGAGTGTTGGTTCTGCGGTGCGCCCGAGGACGACGTCGAGCACATGGTCGCGAAATGTCCCGCGTGGGACGATCACAGGCAGCGGCTGTTCGGCGTCGTCGGACCCGACTTGTCGATCCGCGGCCTCGTGACTGCGTTGCTTCTCGGACCCCGGGAATGGTCCGCCGTTTCGCGATTTTCGGAAGCGGTCCTACGGGCGAAAGAGGACCGCGAACGCGAGCTCGAAAAGTCCGGAGTTCGTCGTCGCATGCTTCGGACGAGTAGGTTTAAGGATAGGTTAACAGATAGAATTAAGGCTAGGTCTAAGGTTAGGTTAAGGTCTATAAATCCCGCTGTTGAAGAAGGCGAGGAGGAGGAAGAAGAAAAAGAGGTGGCGGAAGGAGCGGATCCGGTCCTTCGTCATTGGTCGAGGAAGAGGAAACGTCGTCGTCGGAACGAGGAGGAGGAGGAAGTTGAAGAAGAGGACGACGACGACGTCTTCGATTAGGGAGGAGCGGCGACGAACGCGAGCTTCGTCGTCGGTGAGTCTTCTTTACAATTTCTCGGAGGTCGGCGATCCCGGTCGATCTCCTCTGTCTATCTTGCCCCCCGTTTAGTCCTCATTACCCGTCAGGAGAGAATGCGGTCCACAAAAGTCTCTTCTCTTTCTTCTTTCGTTTACCCTTTTGCAGGGTGAAGCTTTAGTCTAAACCCCCCCGCCCCGGCCGCATTCTCTGGAAGCAGGCGAGCTTTCATCCCTTTCCCCCCGCAGCGAAGGACCGGAGGACACTCTCGAAAGGGGGTGCCGAACGTCCCGGGAGGTGCGTTCTCATCTTCAAGGAGGAGATGGAACAAAGATTAGGGCAGACCTCCCCAAAAGTGATCATGTGGAACGGCTAACGTTCTGACCTACCGGAGAGGGGAGATTGAAATGTAGGTTTTACTCCCACGAGCGTCTCCCCCCCTTTTTAAACAGGTTCGCGCTTTAGCGACATGCCCAGGAGTTTTAGTGGGTATGGGTTCTCGGTGAGGCTTTCTTTAAATCCATACCGAGTCCCACACTCCCTCCTTTCAAAGGAGGGGTTAGTGCGTAACCGCATTTCTCCTGGGTCATCAAAAAAAAAAAACAAAAAAAAGTATCCGTGCAGGCAGGAAAAAACACCAGACAGCCAAAGAAGCAGACAAAAGGCTGAAGGAAGGATGATGTGGGGGAACGGTCATCGTGGGAGCAGTACTGGGAGCCATGCCCACATTCTTCGGAAAATATTATAAATAGCACCACCAAAATTCGAGCATTTATCCCTAAGGAATCGTCGGGTAGAAACCTGGAATAAATGCTTAAAAACCCCGACAAATAAGAGCCTTGTCGTGTTTAAGAGTGACCCTAATAATAATAATAATGATGAGAGAGTCGCGCGTGACGTATTAAAAAATTATCAAAAAACTAAAATTTTTGTTCGAAATTTTTGGAGAAATCATTTAAAAGATTCGCGTGATTTCGTACACACAACGTTCATGCACACGTGATATAAAAAATTTAATTTTTTTTACCGGATTTTTAATGCTGGAACCGTGAATCCCGATCGAAAGATTCGATGGAAAATATATCTCCTGGAATTATGAGATTTTTCCGATCGGATAAAACAAAATCCAAATCGTTTATTTTCGTCGATTCGAAAAGTGACGGCGAGGAATTCGATGATCCGAATTTATCTCCAGCATAAACGGATATGTATCCAGTAAGTCTTTCCAGTCTCATCCTTTGAGCAAAATCAATCAATTGAACCTGCAATCGAGGAGGGGAAATAATAATAATAATAATAATAATAATAATAATAAAATCCAAACGTGAAAATGTCATTTTGTTCTTAATACCATTTTTTCATCGGTTGTGATTCCGTGACATTCAACCAAAACCAGGTACATGAATATATTTATATCATCCGTCGGATACTGTCGATGGTATAAACTTATTCTTCTCAATCCAAGGTCATCTGGAAGGTACATGTATATGTATCTTGCACCGGTCCAATCTTTCCACGTGTCCAACATAACCTTTTCCAAAAAAAAAATCAATTATTATTTCCCTATTTAAAACACGCACGTGCACTCACACCCACATCCGCTCACCTGACTGAAATTTTTATCCAGGCTTTTAAAACCTAAAAGAATATAACCGATATTTTCTTGATTTTGCGGTACTGGAGCAACGCATGGAAGTTCCGTTTCCGGCATTATTTTTCTTACTTCTTGATAAACGGCTGAAATCAAATTCCAAAAACTCTTATCAATCTTAACAATTTTCCTTTTTTCCTTTGTCATCAATGGAAAATCATTACATCGATTTACCTTTTGTTACTGTTATGGAATCCGTACCGGAAGTTTCGTTTGGTGACGTCACATTTTGAAAATTCGAATTTGGAACATTATCCGTTCCCTCTGATAAATGCACGATCGGAAACAAAACTAAAAAAAAAAAAAAAAAACAAAAGAAAATAAGAAAACTCGTTACTTTTTTTTTTTTTTTTTTTTTTTTTAATTTCTTCTGCTATCGCGAAAACGACGACGTTCGTTGTTTTGTTTTGTTTTGTTTTTTTTTTTTTTTTTTTTTAGGTTGACACATAAATATTTTCATGTTGAAATTTTGTTTTCGTGTTTTTTTTCTTTATTTCTTTCTTTCCTTACTTTAACATACACGCACACACACACACACGTACACACACGCACACGCACACGCACAGTCACACGCAACACACATGCACGTATAAATATTTACGATGATGGATGTTAACTTATTTCAAATTATCAAGTGATACACACACACACACAGTATTATTGATTTTTTTTTAAAAGAGAAGAAGAACAAAAAATAATAATAATAATAAATAAATAAATAAATTACATACATTCCAGAGCGATCGGTTTTGGAAACAACAAACAACAACAACAACAACAAAAAAAAAAAAATGGAGGTTAAATATAAAAATAGAAGGTAAAACCTTTTTTTTACTTATAACAAACTAATAACTATTTGTTTACCTTTTACCCTTAATGATAATGATAGCCATAAGTTATACATGTAAACGTCTTATTTTTATTATTCGTTTCAGGAGCGTAACAAGGATTTCGATAAAACTCAATTTGACTACGTAAAAAAAAAAAAAAAAAAATTAATATAAGACGCACTCACGCACTCGCACTCACGCACTCCTTACGCACATAGACATATAACCCAAGAGTGATTAGTTTAAAAATAAACAAAAATAAATAAATAAATAAATGAAAAAATGGTTCTTATACACGTTAATAATAATACAAAGGAGGTATATAAAAATTCATCATTGAAATCAAATAAGGATGAAATAAATTGTGGAACCCGTGGGAAAAACTATAATAATAATAATAATAATATACTTGATAATAAAAATAAAATGATGTCGTGTAGAAAAAAAAAAGATGACGTTTTTCATACGGAAAAATATAATGCTAATAAAAATATGATGGATTTAAATAATAATAATAATAATATTAACGTTAATAATAGTAGTCGTAGTAATAATAATAATAATGATAAATACGGAGACGATTATTTTAGTGAAAAAAATTTCGATATCATCGGTGTAAAAAGAAAAAACGCTTTACCGTTAAATTGTAGAGTTTACGATTGTAATAATAATCTGTCGGAAAAAATGGTCGTGATAAATAGTTTCGAATGTAAAACCGTTGGAAGAGGTATAGGTACGAATTCAACAAACGTACGTCATCAAATTATAAAAACAACAGATTGTAAAAAAATCCTGAATTGTACGAGTACGCCGACGAGAAAAACAATATTGAAAAAAAATTTTCCAATCGATAGAAAATCGATAGAATCCGGTTTGAAAAATGATTTGGTTCAAACGAAATCGCCAACGACGACGACGACGATGACGAGAGTGGCAGCGGCAGCAGCAGCAGCAGCAGCAGCCGCGGCAGCTGCGGCGGCTGCAGCGACAAATTCAAAAGCTAAAAAACCCGGGATAAAAAATAATTTAAATAAAAAAGAAAAAAATTCGAAAATTTTAAATAATAAAATTCAGCAGGATGTTAAAATGGAAAAAAGGAAAACGACGAAAGGAAAATTGCGTGAGGTCGTTGTCGAAGATGCGTTCGCCATGATGGAAAATGAGAAAATATCTTACGATGAACCAATGAAAAAAATAAATTCCAATGATAATAAAACTCTTTGTTTGCTATTGAAAAAACCCATAAACGATTCGGAAAGTGCAATTTGTTTAAATTTATACAATCGTTCAATTCGAGATTTGGCCGTGCCGGAAGAAGAAGAAAAAGATATCGAAATGGAAGATAAATTAAAAAGCGTCATCAATTTCGAATGCGATTGCGGGTACACGAATAAAGCCAGAGTCACGGGGTCATCATGGAGGTTAAACGTGAAAAATTCATTGGATAAAAAATATTACGCGGATTCGGACACAAACGATAACGATATTAAACTAAAAGAGAGTATTAAAGTATCAAACATTCCCCTCGCGTATTCAAATGAAGAATTTTTAAATAAAGTTTCGGCAACACCTACGATAACAATGGCAACAACGGAAACTATGACGGTGCCCTCTATAACGACCGTTACGACAACCACAGTGAGCAAACCTAAACTGTTAGATTTTGAAAAATTAAAATATACGAATTGCAATGCAGAACCTAACACGAATTACACTCTTCACCTACTAGAAAGTTACCATCAGCAAACGTTAACGAGAAAGGAAAGCGGATTCATCGATAAGCAATTAAGTTTTACAAAATTGCGACAAACGACGTCAAAATCATCCAACAGTTGCTTGAAAGGTAACGTGAATAAAAAATCATCAACGGAAAATGAAATCGAGTGCGGCGGATTGATGGCGGAAAAAAATAAGGCGAAAATTGATTCCGCGGTAAAAAATTCATCGGATGTAAAACCGGAAATCGTGAGCGTTGGTAATGGCAATGGCAATGGCAATGGCAATGGCAATGGCGCGAAAGTTAAAAAACTTACGACAAACACGAAATTCGATGGGACCATTATAAGTGAATACAAACCACCGACTGGACGGGGGATGCAAACGTTTAGGCAAAAACAAGAAGGAACGCAAAAATCCGATCCGATTTTAAAAAGTCAAGGGAAAAAATCATCCGACAAAACCGGAAATTTATCCACGACCATCATTCGGGAAAACAACGTAGAGGAAAAAATATCAAGTTCGACGGTTACGAAATCGAATTTTCCTAAATCAAACACGAAAATAAACGAATTCGATAATCGGACGCAAAAGAAAATCCTAAGGAAAGCCAAACCGTTTGTTAATAATCCTCGTTTGTCGCTCGAAACGTCGCAAGGAAACAATCAAAACGCGGTCGCTGCGGTGACGGTGGCGGTGGCGGTGACGACGACGACGACGACGACGACGAAGAAGTTTAAAAATTGTTTGGAAAAGGAAAAACCTTTATCGAGAATTTTAAACGTTGAACAAAGCAACGATTCGGTTAAACACAGAAAACTATACGAAGGAAAACATTCGTGTGGCACACCTAAAGAACTCGAAAATCACTATTCCGACGATAAAAACGATGACGTCGGTGATATAAATGACGTCACACTTCCGGTAGAACCGGAAATAAAGCCAAAACTCGAAATAAAATTTGATTTAAAATCCGAGGATGAAACGATCGAACAAATGGAAAAATCGAAATCCGACCTCGACATAACTGAAAACCTTACACCGGAAGACAAATCAATCACTTTACCCGAAGATGATGATAATAATAATAACACTAATACTACTACTACTAATAATAATAATATTAACACTACTACTACTAATAATATTAATACTAACACTACTACCACTACTAATAATAATAATGATACGAAAAATTGGCAAACGAAAAACGAACCTAAAAAAGAAACAAGAGCGGACAACGTGACGCACGGAAAAGTCAACATCAATTTATTTTCAACGGTACTTCCGGTAAAACCTTTTACGTCATCGTCGTCACTAAAGAAAAAATTAAAAATTAAAAAACCCGCGAAAAGCATATTGAAAAATAAAAAGAAAAAACTGCCATCGGATCCGAAAAATTCAATTTTCTTAACGAGCGGCGGTCATTACAATTCGGTCACGGCTTTTAAAAATAACATGAAAGAACGTAAACCGGAAATGAAAATAAGAAACGGTTTGACAATAAGCAAACACGAGAGTTTACTAGACGAGGATTTGAATAGGATATTTCAAGAAGTTGCCGCCATTAATCTCAAGAGAAGATGTAGCGAACCTAATTCGTTTAAGGGTTTCGTTTGGAAACCCGATTTGAATATATTTAAAAATGATAAAACTTCAATGTCGTCACTCGCATCAAGTTTGAGACATTTAAACACGGACGACATTGAAGATTTTAGAGTTTGGGAATCTACACCGATGACTATAACATCCTGTTGGGAATTATCCCTGTACCACGGGAGGAGGCCATGGTCCCTTTTGAGTTGTTCCGTTTTCAAAGGGAACAGAATTTCCGATTCGCCTAATTCAATTCTGGATAATTTAAGATGCGGTGGAAAGATGAACATGAGGTAATATATTCACTCTCTCTCTCTCTCTCTTTCTCTCTCTCTCTTCTTCTCTTCCTCTCTTTCCCTCGCATTCTCTCACTCTCTTTCTCTCGCATTCTCTCTTCCTCTCTTTCCCTCGCATTCTCTCACTCTCTTTTTCTCGCATTCTCTCTCCTTTCTCTCTCCCTCTTCTTCTCTTCTTCTCTTTCTTCCTCTCTTTCTCTCGCATTCTCTCTCTCTCTCTCTCTCTTTCTCTCTCTCTCTCTCTCTCTCTCTCTCTCTTTCTCCTTCTCTCTCTCTTCCTCTTTCTCTTTCTCTTTCTCTCTCTCATCCGAAACGTTGTTTTTTTTTTTGTTTTCCAGTCAATTATTATACGACAGAGACGATTACAATTGTTCGGATTATAGCAGTTCATTCGATATCGAGCCATCGATCGCACAAAAAAATATCGATATTAAAAATTGGTTGTCGGCATTTAGTTTCACAACGACTTCGTCATCGAACGATACGATTATTTTACCCAGAGTGAACGAATCGAGAAATAAAGTTCAGGTAATAATTTTGTTTTAATCGAATCGATCGATATATCGAAATTAAAACGTTTTTTTTGTGTTGTAGCATCGCAACGTGAAAAAAAAGAACACGATAAAAAAGATAAAATTCGGGGAAGGTTCGAATAAGAAAAAAATAGAAAATAATAAAAGGAAAAATCAAAAAGATTCACGTAACGACGTGATGAAAATAAAAAAGAGAAAATCCGGAAGTTACGTAGCAGTAGACAGATATAAACACGTGGGAGGAGAATCGAAAAATTACGAATATTTGAGTTATTATCGGGAAAATTATTCACACATGGGTGAACCTTTCGCACCGGAAATAACATTTTCAAGCGACGAAGAATTATATCCGTTAAATATTAATTACACGACGGATTCGTTCACATTGACAGACGACGAATCATCTTTCATAATTCCCGAACGTACTCAATCGAGAGTCGACTGTTTTTATAAACCGTTAACGGAAACGGATTCGACGGAAATAAATTCAAAATCTCAACCTCCTCCAACGCCTAATGACACGTTTAAAGGAATAACCGAAAATCCGACGTGTAAATTATTGAGATACATTTTTTTAATGTCCGTCGCGATTATTATTTATTTTTGTGTTAATAAATTTTCAAATTTCGTTTGATGAGAACAAAAAAAAAAGTAAGAGCGTGAATATGGTGACGACATGATGGGCCTCCCTCCCCCCCATTTGGAAATCAAACGTTATTAAAAATTAATTTAATAAATAATTTACCTCCTTTTTCTTTAGCGACCAACATCAAACCATCTCTTTTTAAATGATTTGTTTTTTCATCAATGGCTGCTTTTTTTATATTCGTTTGTTCTTGATTGTTGTCATCGTGACATTTTGATGGTATAACAAATGAAAATGTTGTTAACGGTCCGCAAACTTTTATCGGCTCAGGTGAATTTGTTAAACCATTTCCACGTGTTGAACCTACGATAAGAAAAGAAAAAAATAATAATAATAATAAATTTATCACACATAAAATTGTTTATAAAACAAACAAAAAAAAAAAAAAAAAATTATTTTTTAATTTTTTTTCACGTCTCCGTCCATGTTTATTTTTTTTTGATTGGTTTTTCGAAATTTGTTTTTTTTTTTTTTTTTAATTGATTTTATCCGAGAGTTCAAGATTATTGATTTAAAAAAATTTTTTTTTTTTTTTTTTTTTTTTTTAAAATAACAACAAAATTTTACAATTTTCCTTTCGTGTCTTTTGACCTCAACCCTTTTTTTCTTTTTTTTTTTTTATTTATTTATTTATTTTTATTTTTGGTTTTGTTTTGTGTAACGTTTTAACAGCAAAAAATAATTTTTTTATTTATTTTTTCCGAACGAATTTTTTTTATTTTTATAATTTATAAATAAATATATATTTTTATTCACATAATATATTCCGTTTATTTATTTTTTTAAAATATGATTATCATTATCATTACTTAAAATGAGTTTTCCACAGCAAATTACACTATTAATAATGTTTTGTCGTTACGTAATGTTTTAATTATGCCCCCCCCTTTCCCTCGGCCCCCCCCCAAAGAATTTATTTTTTCATTAAGCGAATAAACATTAAAAATTTTCTTGTAATAGTGGTAATGATAATTATTATTATTATTATTATTACCATTATTAATCGGTAATTATTGCTTACACGACTAAAGCTATGACGTCAGAGGTTATCATAAATTTCATAGAGTATTTAAACACCCATATACTCACACTATCATTTATTTACATTTGGAATTGAAAAAATGTTTTACGCAGAGAGAGAGAGAGAGGGAGAGAGAGAGAGAGGAAGAGAGAGAGAGAGGAAGAGAGAGAGAGAGAGGAAGAGAGAGAGAGAGGATGGAAGAGAGAGAGAGAGGATGGAAGAGAGAGAGAGGAAGAAAAAAAATTTAATATTTACGCGAATTATTAGGTTAAAACAAGGGAGTTTCATATTAATTTTTTTATTTTCCACGCCCGCAGGAAGTTCCGGTTTAAAAAACAAACGATTTAAAAATTAATAAAAAATAAAACATTTAAATTTAGCTTAATAAAATTTTAAACGAACGTCACGTCGAAACTTTTCCAAAAAAAAAAAAAAAGAAGGGACATGGAAAAAAATTCAAATTCCAGATAATACCATATTGAAAACATCAACGAAAAATGTAAACAAAACGTCCCCCCCCCCCCAAAAAAAAAAAAAAAATCAACGCGGGAGTTCGACATAAAATCCTTTTTTTTTTTTAAACAAACAATTAATTATGTAAAATAAAAAATTAGATAATGTAATTTTTGTATTTAAAAAGAAATTCTAAAACATAATAATAATAATAATAAAACATTTAAAATTTCAAACAAATGTCGTAGTCGTCGTCGTCTGCTTCGTAAAATAAAATAAAAAAAAAAAAACTTCTACCGTCCATCTGGATTTTATAATTTTTAAATCATTATAAATACCAAATAGGAATACATTAAAAATTTAACATTGCCACGTTTTTCCCTTTTTCTCATCTTAAATCTCTCTCTCTCTCTCATTCTCTCTCTCTCTCTGTTTCTTTCCCATTCTCTCTTCCTCTCTTTCCCTCGCATTCTCTCACTCTCTTTTTCTCGCATTCTCTCTCCTCTCTCTCTCGCTCTCTCCCATTCCCTCTCTCTCTTTCTCTGTCTCTTCCATTCTCTTTCTTTCTCTGTCTCTTCCATTCTCTTTCTTTCTTCCTCTCTTTCCCTCGCATTCTCTCACTCTCTCTCGCATTCTCTCTCCTCTCTCTCTCGCTCTCTCCCATTCTCTCTCTCTTTCTTTCTCTGTCTCTTCCATTCTCTCTCTCTCTGTCTATCTCTTTCTCTCTTTCCCTCACTCTCTCTCTCTCTTTCTCTCGTATTCTCTCGCATTCTCTCTCTTTCTCTGGCATTATCTCTCTTTCTCTCTTTCACCTTCTCTCCTCTCCAAAATCAACCTTGAATTATTATTATTATTATTATTTTAACCTTATAAGGTCTTAAAGAGTTTTCCTTATAATTATTATTAAAAAATGCAAATATAAATAAATACATTTAATTAAAACATTTTTTTTTTCTCCAAGGTTTTTTATCGACATTTTTATTCATTGGCAAGGTCACGTGATATTATTATTTTTTTATTATTTTTCGCGGTAGAAGACAAATAAAATTTCATTTCCAGTTTTGTTATTTTATTTTAACACTTTCCCGTGACGTATTTGAAAAAAAAATTTTTTTTACCGTTATTAAAAAAAGGCCAACTTGAATGGCGAATATTTATTAAAATTTATTAATCGTTAAATTTCTTTTTTTTTTAAAAAAAATAATATTAATATTAAAAATTGTTCTAATAAATAATAATATTAATGTCGCCATTAATTGTTAACTCGCCAAATCCATTTTTTTTTTTTTTTTTATTTTACGATTATTATAAAAAATTTTTTATTTTACACGGAAAAAACTTGTCATATTTTTTTTTACACCGACAAAAACGTCGATGACGGTTAAAAACAACAATTATTATTATTATTATCCACCATTAAACACGACAAGGCTACTTGTCGGAGTTTTTAAGTATTTATCCGAGGTTTCTACCCGATTCCTTAGGGACAAATACTCGAATTTCGGTGGTGCCACTTATTATAAGATAGCACCACATCAATTCTTGAAGGTCTTCCTGAGTCCGTCTTTTTCGATGGGAACGATTTGTCTCCTGAACTGGGCTCCGGTGACTAACATCTTTGGAGTGGCCAGGGTCAGAAGCAGTGAAATTCACGTTCTCGTCGAGCTGCTTCAGGTCGACAGTAGAACAAGATTTTGTTTTTGGTTCTTACTTTGTCTTGTTCTCATTTTTTTTTGCTCTTTTTAAGCCAACAGCACGTGGCGTTCTCAAACGGTCACCCATCCAAGTTTGCACCACGCCCGATGCTGCTTAACTTCGGTGATCGTACGGGAACCGGTGTGACCAGCACGCTATGGCCGTTGGCTTTATTATTATTATTATTATTATTATTATTATTATTATTATTATTATTATTATTATTATTATTATTATTATTATTATTATTATTATCGTCGTTAATTAAATAAAGAAAAGAGTTTTCTAAATTAAAAGTTTTCGACATCATTCAATAATAAATTTCGAGATTCATCATTAAATCGATCAATCGATTGATCGATATTAATAACTAATATCGTTTAATTAAAACGAATATCGATTGATCGATTTGATAATTTAAATTGTATAAATTTCTGCTGCCACGTTTAATTTAAAATTAAAAATTAATTAATTAATTAATTATTATTTTGATTGACGTAAATTAAATAGTTTTTTTTTAAATCAAATTAATAAATTAATTGTTTATTTATTGATTTTGAGAAAAAGAGAGAGAGAGAGAAAGAGAGAGAGAGAGAGAAGAAAGAGAGAGAGAGAGAAACACAGACAAAGAGAGACTAGGAAAAAAAACAACGAATTTGAATGAGTAATTCATTTTTTTTTTTTTTTTGTAAATTTGCAAAACGTCCGTAATAATAAATCATATTTTAACGTGTCAGAAGAAAAAAAAAACGTCGAAAACAACTTAAAAAAAACTTAAAAAATTAATTTTAAATAATAATAATTAAGTTGTTATTTTAATTAAAATAATAATAATAATAATAATAATAATAATAATAATTAAAATTACCAAACGAAAGTTATAATTATTTTAACCGAATATTATCGAGAAAAAAACAAAACTCTATTTATAATTAAACGTGTTTTAAATAATTAATGATCGATCGATAAAATCGATCGATCTATCGATTTTATCGATCGCAAAATTATACGAATTTTTATTTTTTTTTCTAATTTATTATCTTTGGTTTATATTATAGGGTGTAGCCAAATTAACAGGTTCGAATTAATTCAATTTTTTTTTTACTTTAAATTTGCAAGGATGTTTCCTTCCAGCAATTTCTTTTATCGATTTAATAATGCTCGCACTCCTTACCGGTTAAAAAAAAAAAAAAAAAATTTAGTAATAATTAGTAATGGAATATTACGCAAAAACGTGGCTTTAGAATTTGATAATAATAATATTAATGGTTATTATTTGTTGATACAATGCTAATTGAAAAATAATTAAAAATTTCCTTTTTGATATTTTTTCGGCTTAAAGCTCATACACTCGAATATTGAAAAAATACCTTTGTACGAAACTATTACGATGATGATGATGATGATAATAATAATAATAATAATAATAAAGTCCTTGAACGGGTCAGTGAATATCTCACGACCGAACCGTGATATCGAAACATGAACAAGAATTTTTAAAAAAACGTGTTATTATTTTTTTCGTCGTCGGTACGTTTCAGGTACACGTGTAACTACGTCACTTCCGGATTTGATATTAATTAAAAAGTTCTCGAACGTATTTTGAAACCGAAAAAAAAAAAAAAAAAAATTACTTACTGTACGAAGAGTATGAATTTGAAACGGGCGAATAATAACGTATCCCGTACATTTTACTCAAATCACAATTCATCGTTTTATTATTATTATTATTATTATTATTATTGTTAATAAAACACGATTAATTATTAACTTATGTAAATAAATAAATTCACACGCGAGTACATGATTAATGAAAACA